TTCATCTCAATGGGACTTTCCTGGTAAAAAAAAAAAAAAAAAAAAACTATATATATATATAGTTTTTTTTTTTTCACAGATTCTTTGGCGTACCCCTCGAGGGTGCCCGCGTACCACTAGAGGTACGCGTACCCCAGTTTGAGAAACACTGCAATAGACCATTGTTTAGCATACCTCGATTTTTCATAACCTCTTGTTTTGTTTTTCTTGTTGATAATATCTTTAACAGTTTCTGCGAGTGATGCCAAGTACTGCTGTCATTGCGTGCAACAGTACTCTTTCTGTTTTTATAACCACATACAACTCAGGCTGCATCTAAATTCATAAGAAGTACCTCCTTTCTTATCCTTTGTTGCCCCTCTATGCTATTTTATTGACATTGCTCCAAAAATAACATAAGTGGCTTTAAAAACATCTTCAAAAACTGTTAGATATCACGGAGCTCCCACGTCTCAGAAAGGGCAACAGGAAAGTGCTTTTGCTGAATTCGGATGCAGCCTCAGTCTCAACCTCGACAATGTCTCACCAGACCTAAACAGTTGGTTATTGTAATTGCCGTAACGTCGTCTTATCTTCAGCCGGAAACATCTGACAGTGAGTGAGATGCATCAAACCGAAAGTGTTCCTCAACTGACACAACTTTTTAAACTATGGCTGCTTACGTTCATTAAACGTTACTTTTGAATAAAGTTGTGTTAATACCTATTAGCACCTCCAATATATGAAAGTAGAATGTTGTTAAGTGTAAGTGATTAACTCTAACTCTTACAATGGGTGGCTCAATCATTGTTCAAGATTAATAGTGGATAACCAAACACAGGACTATAAATACTTTTAAACACAACATATTATTGAATCATGAAATGTATTTCACCATATTTAACTTGTTTTTAATCTTCTGTAAAATATTATGACGACTGAGACTATTTTTACAATATTTAACCATCACAAATGCAATCCAAACAAACTGAACACTAGCGCTACAACCAGCAATCCACTGACATTTATTCACACTTGTATTGTTCACATGAGAGGCCCCTTGACAAGTCCAAACTTTTCCCAACTTTCCCTTTTGCTCCTCTGTCTGCTGCATGATCACTGCACACAGCAGTTTTCAGGTGGAAGTCATTCATCTTTGAGACAGCACAGTTCAAGTCTGTTACATTAGTCATACCCAGATGTTATCAGCCACATGTCCCAGCAGCATTTTTCTGAATCGAGACGACGTTTATGCCAAAGATCAATAGGAACAGTGTACGACACCAGCCTGGCCTCGTTTGAACACTGATTTACTGTCTTCATTCACGGGATCGCTTTGAACATGTTTCACACTGACATAACTTCTCACATGAACACGTTCATCATACTTTCACGTGTGCCACAGGACACATACTGTATACTGCTACAATTACTCTTTTTTGAACTGTCAACCAGTTGTTTTTGAACCCATCCACGCTAATATCAGGAACTTCTGGAACAAAGTCCCTTCTGTCTTCAGCTCCTCAGTCCATCCAAATATTGTGAATGTGTGAAGGATATTCCTTTCCCAATTGTTGACCCAGTAATTGGTGTTCCACCATGACATTTACTGGGGAGGTTCCAGTCGCCGCCAAGGGCAGGAGACACCGGCTTGCACTCGGGACCTGAGGCCGAACAGCCCATGTCAGCGTCTTGAATGTATCTGAAAAAAACTCATCAGAATCACTAGTATTTATTTCCATTCTACTGTGTGAATAAATGTACATATACATACCTAAACGTTCTGATCACATGAGAAAAAGTGCTCTGTGGTCTGTGATGTCACAAAAATGTTTTTAATGCTGTATGCACTTTCTCTTAGGAGGTTGTTACAGATGACATCAGTCTGATCTGTATGTAGTTAGAGGTTCATGTTCAAATCTCTTCATTCACCAGGATCAGAATGTTGTTTGTGTTGTATTTAAAATAAAGATAGATAGATAGATAGATAGATAGATAGATAGATAGATAGATAGATAGATAGATAGATAGATAGATAGATACTTTATCGATCCCCGTAGGAGAAATTCATGTGTCCAGTAGCAGTAAAAATAAAGATAAAATTGATCATTCTAAAAACATAATAATAGTAATAATCAGCAACAGCCCTTTAGGTCACAGCAGCAGCAGAGGTGGAGTAGCCTCTGGGTGGAGCAGGACGGGTCGCGGCAGTACAGATGGAGTAGCCTCTGGATGGAGCAGGACGGGTCACAGCAGCAGAGGTGGAGTAGCCTCTGGGTGGAGCAGGACCAGTCAAAAGGTGGAGTACGCGCTTGATTCGGACCATTTTCTCTGCTCTAGTCCAAAATAATGCTAAATGCATCATTAGCATCTTTCAAAAAGTCAGCATTCCTCCAGTGGATTTTCACCTGATCCGCTTGGTTCAGACCATAAATCCTCCCCGCTCTGGTCTGGACCAGTGCAAAACCATGAACACTGTACTGCAGCAACATCTCAGGTAGAAAACAGCAATACAAATAAGAATTGATTAAACACAAAAAGACAATGGAGTCCGGAATTATTCCAAATAGAATGACGCACCTCTGCCAGAAGAGGGTGTTATGCGCTCATTATTTTGTATTGTTTCTGTTTCGTATCATTCAAAGTCCTTAACAAAGTCCTGAAGAGCTTCTCTTCTTCTCCTCAGACCTCCTTAAGGTTGACTTCAGCTGAAGGTTAATGATAGGAAATGCCTGTTCTTTGACAACAACTCAGTTGGTAAAGCATTTGTCTTTGAGCCTGCAGGTCGTGGGTTCGAGCCCACCACAAGACTTTCTCTTCCGACTCCAACAAGTGATTTGTTGTGTTTGTCGTTGTTTATGTCATAAAAAAGAACAGTTTGTGCAAATCAAAATGTGCTAAATAGAAACATTAATCATTTCAACACTTCTGCCAGGTTCATAATGTCAGCCTGTTCCAGAAACTGTCACTGTCAATACCTTCGGTTCCAGGCAGAGAGCTCAGGGTAGAGCCATCGGGCGCGTTCACACGTGTTCTGTTTACTTTAACTGGACCACATCACTTTAACTGGACCACATCTGGTACACTTTAACTGGACCACGCCACTTTAACTGGACCGCGTCTGGTTCCCTTCAATCTTCACAGAACTGTTTAAAAAAATGTAAACTGACTTAACGGGATAGTATGTAATATGCACTCTTAGTGGTCTAATAAACCCATCACAATACAATTACACTTCTTTTTAAAGCCTGTCTGTAACACATTTAGCTGCTAAGCACTGGTTACTGATGAAAACCACCTGCTGGAGTTGGGCTAGAAAGTACAAACTCTGAGTGGTGATTTTTTGTATGTGTGTCCATCCATCCATTTTCCTTGAACATGTTAAACATAAGTATAATGAACATGGGGCGACAGTAGCTCAGTTGGTAGAGCACTGGTCTTTGGGCCTGGAGGTCTGCTCCCACAGATGTCTACTGTCGGTGTGTCCTTGGGCAAGATACTTAACCCCACGTTGCCTGAAGCCCCCGCTGAAAGACCAAGGCTGTTTCATTGCTGAGGGAGCAGCCATCTTCCTGTGGACCCACCACCTGCAGGAGGATCAGCGAGGGACTGGTGCTATGAGCATTGGGTGGCAGCTCTCATTGCCACCCCCCGACCCAGAAATGGACTAATAAAGGGGTTGAAAATAAATGAAAGAATATAATGAACATGATGTTTTCAAGAGTAACTCCAGTTGTTCAGAAAAGGCTTTGGCAACCTATTATCTTGGGAGACATATACAATGTTGAGATTTGATTTAGAATGAAACTATGACCTACTGTCTCTTTAAAGTGCAGAGTGGACACACGATGGAGTTTACTTCCTCAAACAAAGCATTTTGCTCCAGGCCCAGTTAAAGTGAACCAGACCATCACTCCTTATGCAGTTTACTGGTATAGTGCTCAACCTGTTGTCCTGCCATTGTGTCACACTGTGGGCACAAGACCTCTGTTTTTTACAAGGTTGATTGGCAGCATTTGGAGGGTAGATAGATGCCCAGGATTCCCTGCAGTAGAGCCCTCATCCTTCTCTTCAGCACAGCTCCCACAGAGTCCACACTTCTGCCCATCACAGAGATTAATTTCCTGATCAGCCTGTCGAGCCGGTTAAAGAGGCAGCAGTTTTTACAGATATTGTTACATTATTCCATTCTGCTGGAAAACACTCAGATCATAGATTTGTTGAACACATCAAAAATCAATATATCTGTATTTAGAATATTAAATAAAAGTAGAAGTGGTGCATTAAATAATAAAATATAATATGTAATGTGGTCAGGTTACTCTTTAACGATTATTGTGGTCATTTCATCAAGTCAATTGCTGACAATAAATGATAATGTCGGTTACATCTCTCATGTGTCACTGCAGTTCTTATGGAAATATGACAATATTAAAACAGTTGTTTGAAAACATTATTTAATTAATAATAATGAACGATTGTAGAGGCAGTCATGAATATGTATTCTCGTTACTTGCCTAATATGGACTTTCCCCGATATATCTACCATCAAAGTAAGTGTGTTTTTAAACAATGATCAAATTCCCCAGTTGAATGATAGGAGCATTGTAAACGCTGAAATAAAATACAGTCAAAGTGAAAGTTATGACATTTTATTGTACATAATTTCTTTATTCAGACTCAAGGTCCAGAGTACAAAATACATTCACATTTTTTACCTTTTTATATGATGCTACACATGTTAATAGTTTCTCTATGATAAAAATTCTAAATCAGAAATACACAGTATCGTCACAGACTTGATGAACTTTATATTTGTCACTCCAAACATTATTCAAACAGCTTATAATGAATGCACTATGGCACAAGGCGAGAAAACAAGGGTTAATGCAAGGGTCCGTTGCTTTGAAATGCAGTTTTTATTTTTCCAGTACGGCACAAGCAAGAGTTAAGCTGCCCATTTTCTGTAATGGCTTTCCATAAACCATGACGGGATAAGACTTGGTCAATGTACATTGGTTTCAACCTTTGTATGGCTTCTCTCCAAACTGTAAAGTGAGAGTCGTATAACTTGTAGGCATTAAATCTAAAATGATCATAAATCTACGGATAAAATGTCTTACCTTAGCACCGTATCTCTTCTTATCGACACGTATCATGAGTTTCTTAACCCAGTTACTGGCAGGATTAGCACAGTAAAGGCGGTTTCTCTTTGTGATGAAGCTGAAAATTGAAATTGCACAACTTTTAGAAGCTTGTTCGTGTATTAGCAGTAGCATTGGAGTAATAGTAGATGCGTTTTGTTTCTATTGTTTCACTTAAAGAACAGCATCAGCGGTATTTGCTTAGAAAGTCGGTGTGTCCGTCTGCCTATCTGTTCATCTAAAATACAATATGGGGGGGTTTTCATCTTAATTTGAGTTAATTCTTTTTTTAAACAATATTTGCCAATAAGACAAACTATTTAGTCTTATTACAAAGGAGACAATTATTGTATTTTATTGAAAAACATCATTTTACTTGTTCCATTGACAAATTGAGATACATGTTGCCAAATTTTAGCAATTTTTTGCTTATTTTTCATAACTTTTTTCTGTGCATATCTATCCATTTGACACGGACATCACTAGTAACAGTAATATTGCCAGCAAAGGATAACCAAACAAGTCCATAGAAAAATCTGAATTGGAATAGTTGCTTAACACGTTTTTCTGCGATGAGGTTGAAACCAGTGCAGACTCTGAGTCTGCACTGGTTTCTGAGTGAGGCTGAGTTATCACTTCTCTATCACTAAACCAAAAAATGACTAAACATGAAACTAAAACCAGAACAAAACTTTCAAATAATGTGACTCAAACTTTGCTTATATACAACCAAACAGGACAAGGTGATAATGTAATACATGCATTGTAAGTAATTCTGGTCCATCTCAGTCCAGGAAAGTATCTTTTTGTGCATTATTCTTTTATTTTAAATCCAAGCATCAATAGAAGTGTCATCTTTTCACATATATTTCCCTTACATTATCGCTGGCAGGTTGCAGCCTCCATCCACATTCTGCCTGGTGTACTGCACGACATTTCTCTGAACTTTATGGCCCAGACTGGAAACATGTTTGAGACAGCAGTCGTCAAAAGAAACTGTGGGTGAAACATATCAAAGTCAGTACATATTAAAGTGTGTGTGCCAATTTATGCATAAAGTCCACTGGAAAAACCCATTTGCCCCGGAAACAATAAAGCTTTATCTTTTAGTGGCTGTGGTTGATTGCATGCGATATGGTGAGGTTTAAAGGAGCTTACCTGTGACGCTGAGACACATAAAGCATACGAGCAGAACAGAAAGTACCGTGATCCACCTCATGTTGATGTTGTCTGCAAAAATGTGTGGTAGAAATGACTTCCTCTAAAAATTAGGCTTATCACAAAGTGGCTTCCTCTACGCCTCAAAAGAAAACCTTGGACTGACAATCTGCAAAAAAGAGAAATTAAAAAAGATAAGCTAAACTCAAATGAAGAGTGAAAAACCATATTGACAAATTCCCAATACATTTTTACAACCTCAAGCAGCAGTAGCTTAGAGTGGAAGGATTACTTAGAGAAAGCATGAACAGACAGGTAAAGTGAAAGCAGCAGAAGTCTCACCTGTGTGTCTGCAGAGTTCCACAGGTCCCTCTGTCCTCACCTGAGCATGCTTGCTTTTATAATCCGCTCTGAGTTGGGATCAGGTTTCTTCTCAACCTTTGCACCTCACCTCAGCGCTCCTTTCGATTTCAATGCACACAAAATGGAGCAATCGCAAACAATCAGCAGTATTTGATACCCAGGTAAAAACATCCAGTTTGACAAGGACATTTTCTTTTACTTTTTTGATAAAAACTGCTGTAGTGTACCATTGTTAGAAACTGCAAAAGTATGTGTAGCAGGTTGTCTAGTTCAGTACATAGGAAACAGTTCATAAAAGTGCTCTGGCAATCATTTCATTCATTTAGCCTGGAGGCCTCAAACTGCTCTCCAAAGTCGGTCACTGTAACCCTTAAAAAATAAAAAAGTAACTGACAGTTGAAGAAGTCGTTAACAATCTCAGCGGTTGAGTTTGTTTGAAATTTTTATTCTCTGATCTGTGTTGGCTAATCAACTTTTAAAAGTCCTCAGAGACAAAAATAAATTAAATTGAATTGAATTCAGACAATATGGACACAGTATTGATACCCCATTAACTTTTTGTCCTGTCACAACTGCTAACACAGTGTGGAAAGATCACCAAAAATTGGATAACAAATAGTGAAAGAAATGAAAGTAAAATGTTGCATGTCTTCTGACCCCAAACCCCTGCATCATCTGCCATTTTCTTCTGTGCCAAGTTGCCAGTGTTTAAATAAAGCTGCCAGAAGAAGGGGGAACAACAAGAAGAGACTGTGCCATTCATCCATCCATCCATCAATTTTATCCCCCTTAGTCCATTTCCAGGTCTGGGGGTGGCAATCAGCTGCCACCCATTTCACAGAGCACCAGCCCCTCACTGATCCTCCTGCAGGTGCTGAGTCCACAGGAGGAAGACTTCTCTGCCTGTGAAAAAAATAGCCTTAATCTTTCAGTGGGGGCATCAGGCAAAGTGGGGTTATTTGTCTCGCTCTAGGACACACCAACAGCATTTTAGGCCTAAACACAGTCTACTCTTTGACTTCGACTCCCGTCAAAGACGAGACTGTATTTAGGCCTAATTGCAAAATGCTATGTGTGGAGGAAAACTCTGCTCATCGCATTATTTACAACAACCCCCACTGTCAAACCTGGTGGGGGCAGCATCAAACTGTGGGCTGCTTTTATTCAGCAGGAACAGGGACGAGGGTCAGAAGCTAAAAGAGTGGATAGAGAAAAATGTAGGACAAGCTGTTAGAGTCTGAGGAATTCTACATTAGGACAACTTCTCTAAGATTAGAGCATGTATGTTGGAATGGTTTAAAACAAAGCTTATTTCTGTGTTGGAATGGCCCAGCCAAAGTCCAGACCTCAATCCAAACCAGTTATTTACCAGCACTTTCCATCTTCCAAAGAGACATACCCCAAAAGACATGCTGCTGTAGTGGGTTCCACAAAGTCTTCACTCATGGATACTCAATAGATTTGAAGCCCAACTTTGTTTTTGTTTTGTTTTTTGTTTTTTGTAAAATGTTGCGTTGTGTTTACTTTCTCAAGCCATAGTAGAAGATATATAATATAATAAAATATTCTCCTATGAACATTATTTATCAAAGCAGAGTTTATATATATATATATATAAAAAATTGTCCACTCACCTTTGGCCCTCCGCGGGCGGTTATCCCTCTCTAAGCTCGGGTCCTCTACCAGAGGCCTGGGAGCTTGAGGGTTCTGTGACTGTGTAGTATCTTTGCTGTTCCTAGCACTGCACATTTCTGGACCGAGATGTCCGAGGTTGTTCCGGGGATCCTCTGTAACCAGTCTTCTAGCTTCGGGGTCACTGCCCCGAGTGCACCGATCACCACGGGCACTACTGTCACCTTTACCCTCCAGGCCCTCTCCAGCTCCTCTCTGAGACCTTGGTATATATATATATATATATCCATCCATCCATCCATCCATTTTCTACCCTTTAATCCATTTCTGGGTCAGGGGGGTGGCAATCAGAGATGCCACCCAAGTCTCATAGCACCAGCCCCTCACTGACCCTCTGCAGGTGGTGAGTCCACAGGAGGACGGCTGCTCTCTGAGTGTGAGCATAGCCTTGATCTTTCAGTGGGGGCTTTGGGCAAAGTGGGGTTAAGTGTCTTGCCCAAGGACACAACGACAGCAGTCATCAGTGGGAGTCGGTGGAGAAGGTGCAGAGGTGGGAATTGAACCCACGACCTTCTGGCCTTAAGGCCAATGCTCTACCAACTGAGCTACTGTCGCCCCCCATATATATATATATATAATATATATATATATATATATATATATATATATATATATATATATATATATATATATATATATATATATATATATATATATATATATATATATATATATATATATATATAAATGTGAAAATGTCGTCAAACTGATTTTGATGTAACATATTTGGTCTATTTGTAAAATGAAATGAAATCCCCAAATGAATGGGGATTGACAAATGGGGGAAAAAAACAAGTAACAAATGTAGACCTTTTTTGTAGATTTTTGGTTGATTTTGCTGCAATATCTGATGTTTTTTGTAGAAATATTGTCTTATATAACACCACTTAGTGCTCTTTTGATGTGGAACTTGATAGCAGGGATCATTTTTCTGCTGAGGTGCCGAACATCACACTTAGAGATACAGTCTTTCCACGCGTTCTTTGATGACACCAAAGAGCTGCTGAGTGCTCAGTGACAGATATTAATGACTGAATATCTGATAGTACCATTTAGTAGTTGTTTTTGGTTAACATGCCCAGACTGCTCTCAACTCTTCACGATCACACATATTCAATTCCCTTGTTTCGCTTTTGCCATAACCACGTCACTAATACGTCTGTTTTTTATTGATTTGAACCTTTTTTATTATTTTTATTTGTCATGTTTGCACCTGTGTGGCTGTCATGGCTCCAAAACAGAAAACCGTCTGGTAAAAAAAAAATAACAGAAAAAAGAAAGTTGGCAATAAATCCCACGATTCCTGGTCATGGCCTTAAATGTGATGGATTAATGACAACGATTTGTCAGAAGATGATGGTCCAATGCCAAAGCCTCTTGGAACGCAGCCGTTAAAACGAAACACTTTGTTGTATCGTACATTCCTTTTGGACAAAGTGTTTTTGTGCCATTTGAAGTTATACCAAAATAAAACTGTTCATTTGTCGATTACCAAAGTTGAAACTTAACTTCAGCAATCTTGATTTTGTGAAAAGGTCAGAAAAATAACATAACTATACACTAAAACAACAACACATTTGTTCACAGGTATATAATTCTGGCTCCTATCTTGACATTTTTTACATTTAACAAAAGAAATAAAAGATGATGGGAGTCATTCACAAAACATGTAGAACAATGTAAACATACAGGCCTACACATTTTCTTCATGTATTGAGTGCTAACTGTTTTACCTTTGGATTTTTCAGGTTGCTGTGAACATTGCTTGGATAGAGTCCAGGCCGAGCCATATGATAACAGTGATCACACTGTCAAACATGAGAGATTATTAATCACAGTGCTCAGTTCATAAAGTCATAAACACATATTTGTTCAGGCACATGATGAATATGTTTGTTGGTTTTGGTTGGAAGAAGGGCTTTCATACCATCGGCCTACCCAGGGACTACGGGTGCAAGCTCTTTTAAGTTTAAGTTTAATTAATTCATGCTTGCAGCTAAAAGCTGAAAAACAGCAGAATTTACACTTCAAAATAGTAAAAAAAATAGATGAATAAATAATAAATAACTTTTAAAATTTGTATCATACAATCTGACTGCAGTTGGCAGTGCAGATTATTTGAGTCTATTCCCTGGTACGACACATCTTTCCCTTTGAGGTTTATGTTTATTGTACACAGCCCCAGTCACAATAAATAAATAAACTAAACTAAACTTCAGTTTCAGTGATAACTATCCCCAAAAGACTTCTAAAGAGGGGCAGGCTCAGTAATGTTTTAAAGGGACAGCTAAACTTAATGATGTAGGTTTAACTATTTAAAAAATACTTATTTGCTAAAGCATAGAAGCATATGAGTGTATTTTCTATTTCTCTCCCTGAGAAAGTACCAAATGATATACACTGACCTTTTTGATCACTATACTGCCTAGAAGTAATATATCCTGCATTTAACATGTTTGCACATTTCTTTCTTTTGCACACTCTTGAGTGATTCTATCAATGCCTGTGACATGCAAATTTCTCTTGTGTGAGATCAATAAAGTCTATCTTATCTTATCTCTTATCTTATCTTATAACATACATTTGTAATACAGACAACTGCTATTTGCCCATGTGATCCCACCATGCTGGTACTTCTCAGTGAAAGAAACAGCAGATACGCTCTGCTTAGCTTAGCAAAGATTCCCTGACAAATGAGGTCTTTCTGTGACAAACAGCAGAAAAACGTGCAGTGGCTTGTTCGAGCTGCGCCTTAGGGGAGTTTTAAGGATCATTGTAACAAGAAAGAAAATGTCCACAATTGTGCTGTATCACAATTATCATTTTCCTCCATAAATATGTACACTCTAATAGAAATATAATCATAATTCGTAATTTGAGAGTAAGCTCGGAAAGGTAATAATGTGGACAATGACCATTTATGCATGACGGTAAATGGTCATTGTCCACATTAGAATGCTTAAGTGATCAGGACACTTTAGCATTCTACAACATGTATGGACATTTTCTTCTGTGTGTGCTTTATATTTTTCATGTGTTTTAACTGTTGATTCTCTGACCTGTGTTGGTGATTTCAATGGTTTTGTTAAGTCCTCTGAGATGACTTCTGTTGTGACCTAGGGCTATACAAGAATAATCTGTATTGTATTGTATTAGTGTTGTGGCGCCATCTGCTGGTGATTAATCGTTTGTAGATGCTGATTCGTAGATTTATTCAGATTATGGGCCTACTATTTGGCCCAGTGTTGGCTCAGAATAGCACCAACAAATGTATGTGGGACAGCTGAATAGCTAAGCACGGGAGGGGCTGGTAAGTACTAACATGAGAGACCTCTGGCAACACAAGCTGTAACTGTCAGTGTGCCTTTGGCAAGACACCTCACCCACATTGCCTCGGAGTGGCTGATGGCTGCCTCATTTCTGCCAGTCTGCCCCAGAGCAGTTGTGGCTACTATAGTAGTTTATCACCACAGTGTACGGGGTGAAACAACAATGTCAAGCGTCATTATTATTATCTTTATTAATATTATTATGATTAATAGTATTGTCATATTTATTATTATTTTTCATTTTATTTTTTCATTTTTATTAACACACAAACCTTCAAAATCAGTAATAATGATAATGTTTAATAATATGTTTGAGGCTCAATTTTCTTCTAATAAAACCTATTCGGGACATTTTCTTTGGGGCTAATATTTGTTCATCGTTATGGAAACTGTCATTCCCAGTCTAACCAACGGGTTAGACTGTTTACAACTAACGTTTACTTTAGATGCAAACTGAACTACTCAGCATTGCTATATTCAATTAATGGAGTACGTAGCTAGCTTTTTTGAGTTCGTTATTCATTTTTGGTGATATTAACATATATATAATAGATCTTTAGGTAGCTATTCATCACAAAATCATTGCGTTTGATCAAACAATCTAGGACGCAAAGCTCCCTTCAAGTGCTGCATGTGAATATTGTTTATCCTTTTTCTAATCAACAATTAACAAGTAAGTACACACAATGCAAAACAAACTGTAAAAATAACGTTGTTCTATAATGATATAATATAATTCCTATAATCCTACTATTTTATTCGAACAAAATATAATTGAGCGTTAAAGTATTCAGTATCTTTGTTGGATGTTATGGGTGGATTAATTAATCCACTCATAACATCCAACAAAGATACTGACTACAGCACCAACGCTACTCAGAAACAACGAACTATTTCAGCGGTTTACACATAACTACAGCTGCAATGTTATATTGCATTGATGAGTTAACATTCTAAGTGTCTAATTTATTGTGCATGTCAAAGTGATGCTGCAGAGAACCACAGAATGCAAAACAGAGCGGACAGAGACATGTGGGGTTGAGTCTGGTGGAGCGCTCCCAGGCTGCATTATCTGCGCGGTGGGTTGTGGGTGTGTGAGCGTATAAGTAAAATGGCGGACTTGGCGAACGAAGGTGAGTAAGTGGCAGCGTGAGAAAAACAATACCAGCGTCCAGCCGGTTTAATCTGCGCTTTTCAGGGAATCGCATGATAGACAACACATCTACAACACCCCTCCCGCGTCTTAGGAATTAACTTCAGTCTAATTTCCACGCCAGGGCATCCACAGTGCAACGGCGTTAGCATGCAGGCTAATGGGGCTAGCATTTCGGCTAGCTCTGAACGCCTTGGGACATTGGCTTACATTTTAATGCTACGCTAGCTCGTAGCACCCGGCTATTTTTAGGCTCTGTGTTTTGCGAATTATGGTATTGCAGTGTTAACCTGTGAAAGGATAGCATTACTGTCATCCCGGTGTGCTAGAATGGAGCTAGCTGGATGTGCAATTCTGGTAATAGAGGCTAACGCTACAGAATGCAATGCAAATGTGCTAAGGTTCCACTGTACGATGTTTTTTTAGGCGCGTAGCAATAGGACGTCAGCTAAAGGCGACTGTTGTGGTTTACATAGTGCCGTTATAGTTTCTTTGTCACAGCTCTGTGTTAGTCAACCGCCTTTGCGCGTAGTATGCGGTTGTGGCTATGTTATGACATGTAAGTGCAGGGCTGTCAAAGAAGATGCCACATAAGGGACGAGGGGCAAACAGCACAGTTAGCATTTAGCTTAGCCACAGGAGCAGCCGGTGGTGTCGTCTTTTTGCTGGAGCAGGTCAGATGCTTTGACATAAAGCCGGTGAACCGCTACGCAGGCATGGTCGCTGAGTGAATATGCACTTGGCTAACTCATGGAAGCTATACATTTAGATGTTTTATTGTGCCTTTGAAGAAATAAATGTAATCTAGGTCACGCAGTATTAATGTTAACACGTTTGATGGTCCATCGCTTTGTTCATTATAAGTATTTATGCAGGTCATGCAGCTACAATATTTTGCATGTAGTGTAATAGCCTCTGACATTAAAGTGACAGTAAAATGTTTTATTTTTGGCCCATTTTGGGGTTAACTCTATTTCTATATAAAGCAGTGTTGTTTACCAACAAAGGCACAGTTACTGAAATTATGGGGACATGTGTGGGAAGTAGAACAGTTTTAGAACTGACTGCTAGGTATACTGAACTTACCCGAAGGTTTTGCACTCTTTACAACTGACATTTGTGTTAAACAATGTGATTCGGTCAACTAAATACACATTTATTTGTATTATGTACGTCATACAATTAATTCTTTCTGAGGACTTTGATGTTTTGGGAGAGTTTATTACATAGTTTACTTTAAAAATAAATAAAAACAATTGTTAAAATTGGATTACATCCAAAAAATGTTTTTTAAATTACGAAATTGTGTTTTGGGTACAGTTTAGTCAAATCAATTATACCCACCATTAATATCAAAAGGGAAACAACAAAAGTGAAAGAAGCATTCAGTGAAATGAAAGTGTTTTAAATCTCCTCATGCCCCAATAAGCCTGTAAACCTCTCACACAGATGGAGAAAGAGAGAGAGTGAAGGTGTCCTGTTTGCTCCTTGTGGAGGATTAGACACCACACACAGTTGACAGTCTGGCCTCAGCAGACGATGCATGTTACCTGCAATTACCGCCGTCACTGGTTTATTTTGACGCTGCAAAATGTGCCTTTGTTATGGCCCATTTGGGAACCTCAGAGCATCTAGGAGTCATAACTGGGCAGAGTGGTTGCAAACAATGACAAGGTTTGTTTACCTGTTGGCCATTCTTGTCTTATGATTTGAAATGGAAAGTTAAAATGGTCTGCACATTGGCACAGTGGTTAGCGCTTGGTTCAATTCCACCTCCAGACCTTTCTGTGTAGAGTTTGCATGTTCTCTCAGTGTCTGTGTAGGTTTTCTCCTTGTGTCTGGTTTACCCCACCACTAAAACATGTACAATAGTCCCCCATAATGCCCTCCCCAATCCCAATCCCAATCCTGCCCCTGAAAAAGAAATTCTGCCATCTCAGTTGGACTTTTTTGCTAAAATAAAGGCCAATAAGATTATTATTAACAAAGTCATGGCTTTTGGTCTGCACTCTTTTTTTTTTAGTTCATTTGTGAGTATACAAAAGGAATGCAACTGAAATGGTTTGCATGAGACCATGGGTGTTTGGCTGTGGCGTCAGCTCAGTTTACTCCTATAGACACTTGATTTGGTACTGTTCCAGTCCAGATTAGTTTTGTCTTGACCTGGTCTAGACAAACTTACAATATTGTTTTATTTATTTCCTACTGTTAAGTGTTCAATTTACTAAGGTTGTGTGTGACTGCTGATCAGCTCTGAGTTTTGCGCACTTAATCCCTCATCACAGGTGATTAGCCTATATCTTTTCTTGACAGACAAGCCTGCCATAGCACCTCCTGTGTTTGTGTTTCAAAAAGACAAAACGGCACAGAAGGTAAGTGCTATCATGCACCCCCCCAAATGAACTCATATAAAGTCAATATAACATATTACTGTTGGTGTATCGGTTCTTTACTTCTTTGACTTTCTTTGCAGCGATCAGCTGATGGCTCAAGTGCAGAAGATGGAGAAGGTATCCACTTTTAACTGGCTGATAAACAATCATTTTTCTAACTTTTACTCTTAACAAAGCGCTTTTATGGTTACTTGCTGCTATCAACACAATTTGCAATTTACAAGATAGCTTTGATTTAAGGGTGATAAAATGATCTCTTTTCAGTCCTTTCAAATGTATCTGTTCATTTTGGGTATCCGCAGATATTGGAAGTCAAAGAATTGATCCATTCTGGACAGAAAAAACCTGGAATGGTGCATCCCTAATCTTGCGTATTATGATGTTTCAGATTCAGACAAAGATGACGGAAGCTATTGCCCTCCTGTGAAAAGGGAGAGGACCTCCTCGTTCCCGCCTCCGCACTCTGGTGAGGACACATGCGGGGCGTCTGTTGTGTTTCTGTATTTAAAATGTCCATTTGTATGCTGAGCGCACTGTCCCTCTCCCACTTTGCAGTTTCCAAGAACAATGTATTCATGCCCTCGAGTTTCAGCCAGTCCCCGACTGGCAACTCTGACTCTGAGCCAGGTGAGCGCCCCATACAGAGGTCTAAGCTGTTTTCACTGCTGTAATAGTTTCCAACGGAATTTATGGTAAAATAATAATAATATTAACTTTATTATTATTGTTATTAACTATAATAATAATGACTAATTTATTGATGTATGATAGAATTGTATTGATTGTAATTGTATGCCAGTATCTTTTACTCCCTTCTGGTGAGTCAGTTATGAACATTTATTATACTGGTATCAAAAATTGTCGACTCGGGAGATGTTTCTGGATCAGACACGGATATTTTGTTTTATCCAAGTTGAGCCATTTCATTGTCATAAGACTTTTGAGTGTGACTGTTCAAACTCTACTTGAGTACTGGCAGCATAAACAAGTTGCACTCATGTGCCACTATTTTGGAATGAGTAAAGTTTTGGACTATGACTTGATACAAAAAATCCCGAAACGGCAAGTGACTGGCAAGGAAGTTATGCTGCACTCAATCTAAAATGTACTTTGCAAATCCATGAAGTCTATAAATCTGCTCATATAAGTTTACAGTGTGTGATCATTGAACAAATGGCCAACAGGAAAGTACAAGCAAAACAAAACCAGGTGTTAGGGTTAGTTGCTTGTTAGTTACATGGTTTCAACGACTAGTATTTCTACACGACAAAACAAACAAAAACATCACATACTCTCAGTAAATGTTGCACAGAGGGATACATCTCTGGTGCTCCCTAATGTCAAATTCATAATCAAGATCATATTGCTTTTGTTGGAAATGGGTCACAGATTGTTGTCAATAACAGCAGGAGTAAAGGCTACATTTATTGAAATTGTCTTTTTTTCCCTCTCCCCTTCATACCGTGCTGCGTCTACAGAGGAAAAGCCAACAGGATTTAGACTAAAGCCCCCAACACTCATTCACGGACAAGCCCCCAGTTCAGGTACGCCAGCTGCTCTGTAGAAAATGTCTGATGCGTTTTTCACTTTGACTGCATTTGTGCTGAAATGAGTATCTTTAACTTATTACCAATAAAGTACGGATAAGCCACTTCTTATTAAACTACACAACAATGATTCTCGCTCTGTTATACAAGTTATATAGTTTTTACTGTTTTTTTTGTTTTGTTTTTTTATTACAAAGAGACATTTTTTAGGTTAAGAAAACTGCTAAAAGGGCAATTGCATTTTCTCACTAATCTTGGTTGTTTATTTTTGGTCTTCACCTCAACAAAGAGACATTTCAAGCTATGTAATATACAATACAATACAATATTAGTTTATTCTTGTATAGCCCTAAATCACAACAGCAGTCATCTCAGTGGACTTAACAAAACCATTGAAATCACCAACACAGATCAGAGAATCAACAGTTAAGACACAAAAAGAATAGAGAACACATGTTGATAAATGTCCATAAATGTTGTAGAATGGGAGTGAGTGTCCTGGATCATCACCACAGTCCTTTTTGTTAGACACTTAACTGTCCAACAGACTCTCCTGCATCTGCAATGAAAAACTCACAAAAACCCATATAATATAATGAATTACAACCATAAAGGAATGAGCAGGAGTGTTTATTTGGTCCTATCCAACGTTATCAGTGTGAGCAGTTTTATGTGTTGCAGTTGCACCATACCATATTTAACATCACACATACTAAAACATTGTCTACACACATATTATTTAAATATTTTAAACTTAAGATAAGATTTAAATTGTAAAAAAAAGTAAACTATTTTCAAATCTTTCGACAGTTTATTCCATAATTAATTTGGATCACCTGTAAGTACTAGTGATCCAATGTAAACAAACGGTGGTTTTAGTTTTTTTGAAGTTAGAAATGAACCTATTTTTCCCTATTTTCTGTAATAACCGCCCCTCATTGGCCTGACATTATAAAAATTCATTGTTTGTAAGTGTGAGTGGTTGTGTTGCAGGCGTCCCGAGTCAGAAACCCAAGGAGCAGCAACGTAGTGTTCTCCGCCCTGCAGTCCTCCAAGCACCAGCTTCCAAATCACACATGGACTCAAGTACGACAACTATCCAACTTCAATTTACTTGTATTTAAAACAATCTCATTATTCGTTTAGGACATTTTACAGAAAAAAGGAAATCGGTACCATTTCTATTGGCTGTCCTTGTTACTTTTGACTTGTGAAGCTAATCACTCATAATTGTTTTGGTCTTGGGTTTAGATTCCAGTTGTGGGACGAATGGAGTAAAAAAGTCAGACGAGGCCTCTGAAACATCCCTCTTTTTGAACAACACGGAGCACTTAAGCGACCAGACAAAGTCACTGGTGAGATTTGGTTCTTCAAAACACCATTTTACAGTTTGTATTTCTGTCAACATTTTGGTACATTGGTGCCATCCATATGCAGGTGATTTTGCTAACTGCTTTGGTTTTACTCATAAGCTGGAGAATCTTTGGGGAAAAAACAATATTACCCTCATGTTGATTGAATTATTAATTACGGTATTTATAAATCAAAGTATATTTTTGCACAGACTGGAGCAAGGCCTTAATTTATTAAAGTATGCCTAGTTAATCCAAACATAGTGAAGTTAAAGTAGGGATGCATCGGCTGAACATCGGTATCGGCCGATGTTTGCCTTGTTAACTACCCTGGACAAAAAAAGACATTCACCGATGGTGCGTACAAAGAGATACCGGTAGAGGGCGTCCGTGCACTTTCCTCAGCACAAGAAAGTGGGGCACACCCAAGCCCCTGTGATCCAACATTGCGCCCTATTCAAAGGAATGGCTTGTGCTCAGTAGCCCATGGGACATACAGGGGGGCCGAGAGATTAGCGGAACTCGCTCGTATTTGGGCAACGTCTGGTCCTCCGGGCTCTGCGCAGTGGACGAGCTCCCATGATGCCTTGCGCCAAATACGCATGTGTGGCTCTCATGCAGGTGAACAGAGGGGCTCTGCCGCGTTTTGACCAATCAGCTTGAGCTAGAGCGGAGCCAGAGCGGGAAGGAAACGAGCAGTTTGTTGCAGTAAAGTGTGGATTTGAAGAAAACCTAAGGATTTCAGAAAAAAAAAGTTCAGGATGAGAAGGGACACTAAAATCTCCATAAAATACGACCTTTAGCTGAGGTCGAGCTATTTTAGTGTACATTGAGTTATATGGGTCTTTTTTTCTGAATTTAGTCAAATTTTCAGCATGCGAGCTACTTATAAAAGGATCGAGTCAAAATGATCTACCTACTACAAAAATGCAAATCATATATTTATTTCAAAAAATATTCTTTATACCTACAATGTATGTTTATGTACATGCAAAACCGCATGAGCCAATATAGCACAACACAACACAATTACCTATGTACATTTTTTGTCATTACCCGAGTTTACTCTTATGACTTGTACTGAATTGAATCGGCCAGGGATGCATAGTCCGGAAAATTGGTGGTAACTCGCTGACAAGTTTGTCGTGGTTTAGCTTTCCTGCACTGAGCGCGGTTGTTTGCGCATGTGCAGTCACCTAAGTGTCAGTAAAACATTACTGAGTAAAACACAGATGTCATTTGACTGTGGTGCCATGTCCATGTGCCATGCCTGTTTTTTTTAAATCCAAATATTTCCCCTCCTCAGTTTATAAAATAATTTGCATCCACACATCTGCGTTATCAATCACATTTGTAACATTCCAAACATGTGCGTCTCTTACGTCCTGTCCTCATGGATCTATTATATTAACTGGATAGGGTATTACTAGCTTGTAGCTGAATAACTCATGTGCTCAGGGGATTCTCGCGGTACTGCAGACTGAACCAGACTAAATTCACGCGGGCTACCCAGAAATTTTCCCCATAGAACTCAATGCATATTAAAACAGCTCAACCTCAGCTGACAGAGAACCTACAGCTTTAATAAAGATCGGATTTTGTGGGGATGTTAGTGTCCCTTGTCATCCTGAACTTTTTTTCTTCTTAAATCCTTCGGTTTTGTTTAAATCCACACTTTAGTGCCACAAACTCTGCTCCTCTGGCTCTCGCTCTAACTCCCGCTCTGAGGAACTGCTCTGATTGGTCAGAGCGCGGCCGAGCCCCTCTGTGCACGTGCGTGAGACCTGGTGTGAGACCCACACACGCGTGTTTGGCGCAATGCATTATGGGAGATCATCCACCGCGCAGAACCGGGAGGACCAGACGATGCCCAAATACAGGCGAGTTTCCCATAGATCTTTGCGAGTTTCAGGCAACTTCCGCTAATCTTTCAGCCCCCATGCTGTCACAAAGCGCCACTGAGCACAACCATTCATTTGAATAGGGCGCCATCTTGGATCGCCGGGGCTTACCTGTCCTGCGTTGGGGAAAAACACGGAAGTGGGCGGAGCTTTGATGCAGACGCCGGTAACGTCACTTTTACAGTCATAGAAGACACTCAGAGTAAAGACGTATGTTTACAAGCACTGACCCCGTCCTCAGCCCTGGTTTAGTCCTGGTTTAGCCCTGGTTTAGCCCTGGTTTAGTCCTGGTTTGGTTGTTTTCGAGCGTGAGTCCCTGCGATCACTTTGCTGCTCTCTGATGTGGAGCGAGGATGTTTGCTGCTGCGAGCATCTCACAGCGAACAGTTTTTAAGGTAGTATGATCCATGCTTCAGTGATCAGAGGAATTTAGGGGGGTACTGTGGCGTGCGAGAACGCAAAACTCCGGTTATCTCTGTCTACACACAAATGCATTAACGGAGTTTTCAAAAATCTCCACTTTGCCCGGAGTTTTTTGTATATATTCGTTTAGAATGTGTATTTTTTTATTTATTTAATGCGATCTACCAATACTACCTTTGCGATCGACTGGTAGATCGCGATCGACGTATTGAGCACCCCTGCCCTATCCAGTACGGCTGGGCAATAAATTGAATTTTGGCACTTTTTGGCTTTTGAAAAAATCAAATTTGTGAAAAATGTGAAAATTGTGAGTTCCAGCAGCACATGAAGACTTTTATAATAAGTATTGGGGGAAACAAATTAAAAATAGTTTTGAACCTTGAATATTGAGCGGAAATATAAAAAATATTTTTAAGGGCAACGTTTGTCTTTGGTGACTAATGAAAATTGATTTAAAATCAAAATTGTCCAAAGCAGGAAATAAAATTGAGATTTTACTTTTTTGCCATATTGCCCAGCCCCACTATCCAGTTATTATTATAGATCCATGGGCACACTGGGTTTGCACGCGCCCGTCCAAACTTTCCTCCTTTTGCGTACGTAGTACCAGGTGACCAGTGAAACCGAGCACTTCTTTGGCTGAGCCGTTTATATCAGAAACAATTAAAATTTAAAATTTCACAATCGGTGCATCCCTAAGTTAAAGGCACACTCTGTGTGTTGCTATCTAAAACGCTTATGAGAAAGGACAACCAGTCCTCTTTAGCCCCATTATCTAACTTTAAATTAAGATTAGGATTTTTTTCAATCTGTCAATTTTCGGGCACTTCCTAAAAAACATTTTTTGTTTAATTCTGGCTTCACCACACGCAGTTTTTTAGTGATGTTGCCATAAATTGCAACATGGCAAGTATTAGTTTATGAGATAGTATAGCTCATCTAAAGTGGCTGAAATCTCTGCCATCAAACACAGGAAACTGTGACATCAGTTTTTACAGGCAAGTGTGACACAAGCTGCTGTGTTCTGTTTATGACCAGCTCTGGTTTCATTTCCAGAAACATGAAAACGAAGACGGAGCAAGTAGTAACAACGAAGGGGGCGGAGCCGAAAAGGGCTCAGATGTAGCAATATCTTTTGTGTTTGGGCAAAATATCAAAGACAGAGCTAAGGTACGTGCATCTGTCTTCTTTAAGCTTATAAACGGCTTTCAGAGTGGTGACGTTTTAGTTCTGTTCGTCATGACGATGCCTCTTTTTTTTAAATTGAAAATTCAAAGCAATGACAACATTCAGCCCATCTTTGCCAATCTTCATATTTATTTTTGGTTGCAGATGCTACCAAAAGTCCGTGTCCTTGCTCATTTTAAAGCACACGACAGCCCAAATCTAGCTGCCTCTTTTTAGATTCTAATCATTGGCTTATAATTGCTGCCCAAAAGAATACGTGTTAGCCAAAAATGCTAATCAACAATGCTGACTCCATCAGTTCAGTGGTCACGGCTTCACATTTATTTATATAGTATGGACGGCCTCATTTGAATTTATTTGTAGGATAAATTATAAGCTGCTGCAGACTTTACAAATATATATATTTTCTCCTTTTTTCTTGACATATTCAGGATAAGAATGTTTGGTTAATGGCCACACAACAAGTTGGTGGAAATTGTTTCTGATACATAAAAAATGTCACTGCAAGGTTACATGAGAGATTAAAGGTCCGAACGGCTGTGGAAAAGAAGCAGTTGTCAAATCTGACTTTAATCCGATAAACCTGAGCAAGGTGTGGTCTCCGGTGATTCTTCCAGATCGCTGTGTGATGAGTCTATTAATGACAGAGCGAGGCCGGTGATCTTAGATGACTTGCTTATGATGCGTTCATTTGTTTTGCATTTGTACTATTGTTGCCTCTGTTAAGGCCCTAGTTGTCATGGGAAGAATGGTGCTATTGGCTTTTGTGTACATTTTGTCTTTCCCATTTGGTTTCCTGTTACTGAAGTGTGTCCTGACTAATTTGTTTTGAGGCGAGGTTGAGTGTGAGAAGTCCACATTAAGTCCTTTTGTTTTACTTGTGTTGAGCAAAAAGGCTGAGAGACAATTCATCCTGACCTTCTGCGTTCTCTCTGACCGGAATCTCCTAGTTCGAAAGGCATAAACTTGTGTCAACTTCATGTCCATTAGTTGAATCCGGGAACAGGGTGAGGGGGGGTTTGAAATAAATGTAGTTTGCAATAATATATTGGAAATATATTTGCTTTGATGACCAAAAATATGAATTATATCAGCTTTTCACAATCCCTCAACATCTGCGTTAGTATCAGTTTTTAGGCTCTTCGCAGCTGCTGCAGTTGAAATGTAAGCAGCTCTTTGGAGAAGGCTCTTAAATCCCTTTTGCGCTTTGCTTGAATCAGTAATTGATGTTGACTTATTTGTGTCAGTGCTTTTTTTCACTGGTGTCTTATTATGCAACTTTTGTGTTGTGTAAAAAGTATTTGAAATTCACCTCGTTTCTTTTGCTTCTCTCTGCAGCTCGAAGAAAACAGTACAGGAAAGTCAAAAGATTCATCAGACTCTGAGAGCACCAATTATTTTTTACAGTACATCTCTACCCCAAGGTAATAATGCCCTCCATTTTATTTATAGCAAGTCTCGGTATTAAAGTAGTGTTTCTTCCTTTGCTTTCCAGTTCAAAAAATGCGGCAAACAGCCCAGAAAGTGGCACGAAATTTGTTTTTGGACAGAACATGTCCGATAGAGTTTTGGTGAGTGTCAGCGGTGCAGTAATGCTCTTTTTGTCCTCCGAGGAAGGGGGATAATGAACATTTATTGTGTGTGTGTGATTTCAGAGTCCACCAAAAGGAGAGTCTGCAGTAGAAGAAACGACGGAGATTCCGGAGCCACCGCTCTCGGAGCCATCGTCACAGGAAAACACGCCAGAGAAAGGTGACCACACATACCGATTAGGGGTCGTATTGAGTCTACGAGTACCAATAATCACATTTGAATTTTCTTGATGGTTTCCAGGACTTCACGTTTTGACAAATATTTATATATATATTTTTCAATAACAAATGGACTAACAAATATTCATTGCAAACGCGGCGGTCCTGATAGTTGAACATTTTGCAACATGTTTTGGAGACTTTTTCTTGTTCCTGGTTTATGTCATAGTTACTTATTGCACCTTTATTATTGCCTCTGCCAAGGAAGTGATGTTTTCCTTGTGTCTTTCGGTTCTTTAATTTCAACCATAACTGTTGTGGGTGGATTACGTTTTCAGTGAAGCTCTGGAGAAACGTTTGCTTCTCTAGTTAATTTATATATTTTTGTTTTGTTTTTCAGAAGTTATTGTATAAAACACTACAGTAGAAGCATTTGTGATTGCGAGTTAAGATGGACTTTTTTGCTTATAGAATTCTCACTGTAGGTTTAGATCTATTTAACCATTCCATACATTGTAGTGAAAACAAAATTAAACTCAATGGAGTCAATGAACCCTCCACAAGAAACATTTCAGCATCTTAAACATTCTTCTGAACTGGATAAAGTTGATGGTTTTCCATATTTGTTTTGTAGTATGTGTTTAGTCACTGAGCTGCTTATCTTCCAATCTGCTGCAAAGGCCTCACAAGCATTCTCTTCTCAATCAAGAAACATTCCAGTTCAAAGGTTGCTGATTAAATGTTTAGGCAAGCACCCTTAATGCTAACATGTGTTGTGTTATTTGTAAATATGACCGTGGAATATTTAGAAGTTGTGTAGCATTTAAAATATTTTTGCGGTTTACTTTTAAGACTGAAGACAAGTGTTAAATGCCTTCATTTAGCAATGACTGCTGTTGTGATAGTGTGATTAGTTCACACTCTTGGGACAGAGCACTCAGGATGTGTTTTTGCCTTTGTTTTCTTTTTTAGCCTTGTTTTAGTTAAAAAATGTTGAACTTTACAGCGTCATTAGTTTGAATAAATAAAAGCATCATTAGATCATCATATCGATTTTATTTCCTGCTTTGGACGATTTCGATTTTTATTTTGTTTCCCTCAATACATATTATAAAAGTGCTGATATTGTAAGTATAGTTCATGTGCTGCTGGATGCTCACAATGTCCTTCATTCGATTTCACGATTTTCACATTGTTCAAGAATTCGATTTTTTTCAAAAGCCGATTTATTGCCTCAATTCGATATATTGCCCAGCCCTATGATGATCTATGGCACAGATATGTGGAAAATTTAATAAAGGCATTAGTAGTAACTGGACAAATAAAACTGGCATAATGTTGGTCCTAATCATAGCCATAGCTGCGTTACATTTCTGCCCAGTTGCGTTGTGAATGTTTTTTGAGATTGGCTTTCAAAAGAGGTTTTTTTATGGAGTAAAGCTTGGTGTGTGCCGTACAGTGCAAATCCGTATGTTTTTTCCAAGGTATGAGGGTTCTTGCCACTATCACACCGATTACAGCCCTGCTTTACAGACTTCCTTGATTACTTAAGTGGTCTAAATGTGGTCTATGATTTAGTGAGGGGAGATATTGCAATGCTGAGTTAAAGTGTTCCTTGTGTCATGTGTGCAGCAAACAACGCATCAGAGTCGTTGGAGGAATCTGCAGCAGCGTACACCAAAGCCACAGCCAAGAAGTGCGTCTTAGAGAAAGTGGAGGTCAAGACTGGAGAGGAATCGGAAAGCAATGTTTTACAGGTAAACGACAAGCTTTTTGGTGAGATCTGTGCCGGTAATGTAAGATCTTTGTGCCAATTCCTCCCACCTTTCACTCTTCAGATGCAGTGCAAGTTGTACGTCTTCGAGAAGACTGCGCAGACGTGGATAGAGCGAGGCCGAGGGTTACTGCGGCTCAACGACATGGCGTCAACGGAAGACGGCGCATTACAGTCGCGTGTCGGTGAGCACAGCTGCACTGCATTGTGTGAAATCACATTACAATTTCAGCATAACTTTACTTATTTTCGTCATCACATATTTCCATCTCGCCCACATATCGAACACAAAGATGCGCCTTTTATTGTACGTTTCAACATGAAGTCACTTATTGCATTTCCGGGTGTTTTGGAGGGTTTTCAAAACAAGATTTTGAAGCAATGTTATAAAACACATCAGTGTCATGCAGAAAGCGACTAATTTATAAGTCCTCTTTATACAATGTGACTGGAGTAGGCCTGTCACGATTACAAATTTTGCTGGACGATTGTGTCAGATATTATTGCGATAGTATTGCTTGCTTGCAATCACGTGACGCATAAACTTCCGGTTGACGGAGTGGTTAGCATCATGCTAGCAGCTTATAGTGTAAAGTTCTTGCCAATAATGCAGATCTGCAGCGTCTCTTTGTCCAGAGACCTTGCAGAGACTTTATATAACAGCAGTATGTGTTCACGGCGGTGCGTCATACGTTTATTTTATTATTAAATGGTACTTCTGCATCGCGCTAGTTTAGTCACTATAGAGCCTGAATGAGAACAACTACTGTGTCCCCCGTTGTCAATCCTGGTTTAGTCCTGGTTTAGTCCTGGTTTAGGTCCTGTTTTGGCTGTATTCTGTATTTTTGAGTTATTTCAGTCTGACCACTTTGCGGCGCTCTGACCCGAGAGGGAGAGTGAGACACGGGAAAACAAACAAACATGCAAATGGAATTCATCGCGGCCAGGAAAACAATCGAGCTAATTTTAATTATAATGCAATTAATTGATTTATTGAATATCGCGACAGGCCTAGACTGGAGTTTAGATTTTAATAAGAGTGACTGATATATATTTAAAATGAAAATCAGTTACCATAAGTTGCAGAATGTAATCGGTTTTAACTTACATTGTCAATTTGCATTATCATATACTACCTCAGCTGCTACTCATCATTTCGACATGGAGGAGTTGTGGCTCTATTCCGAGCTCCTCTCCCCTTCTCAAGGCCACTCCCGGGAAATTCAATTTGACGACCTGTATCCATGATCCCATACGACTTCATCACTACAATGATTTGTCATCTCACTCTTCATCTGTGAACAGACCTCAATGACCTGAAGATTATTGATGGATATATAATATACTTAATTGATCCTAGATCAATAGAGCTTGTCCATTCTTCAGAAAAAATAATGCTACATTTTAAATCTGACCTTTTCGGTCCGATTCTGATGTAGCGCTCTATTTTGACCGGCTTTCAGTACAAAGCAAAGATCTTTATATTTGTAATTACACAGGGATATTTTGTATTAATAATCTGTGTTTATAATTGGTCCTTAACTCTTTCTTCCGGCAGTGATGAGGACACAAGGGAGTCTGCGGCTGATCCTGAACACAAAGCTCTGGGCACAAATGCAGGTGGACAAAGCAAGTGAGAAGAGCGTACGAATCACTGCCATGGACACGGAGGATCAGGGAGTCAAGGTCTTTCTAATATCGGTACGTGCTGCTTCACCAACTCCCTGTTTACTAAAGGCTCTTTCAAACTTTATTAGGGCTGGGCCCTAATGTGTGCATGAAAACAATCACAATATAAGTGATTCATATTGGTCGATATTGACAATTATTGATTTTTATTGTTTGTTTGTTTTTTTCAACCTAAATAATACATGCGTCGTGTCGGCTAACTCACGTTAGCAGCCCTTGTTTATAGTCACGGGGAATGAGAACTCAAGCTGGAGTCATATGTTCACAAGCACTATGTCCCCCATTGTCAGTCCTGGTTTAGCTCCACTTTTGGCTGTTCTCAAGTGTCTTGTTTTCCTGTGACGGCTTTGTGCGGCTATCAGATAGCCCGTGATTCCAGAGGAAAAAGTTTCTCTTGCTTTTGCCACATGCATCGACTCACTGCCTCTGGCGCACATGCTATTCCTCGCACGGACGTGCATTGACAAGGCATTAAAACACGACAACTTTAGATCCACAGACGTAAGAAATGGTGCAATAGTTTTTTTTTTTTTTTTTTGCATTTCCCAGAATGTTTTGCGGTTCATGCTCGGCCGTGATAGGTCGAGAAGCCTCTGCCTACATCCCCCAGAATGCTGCGCGGGTCTGACTCGGCTTTACTTTCTGTGTTTTCTTCCTGTTTTTTCTAACTGAGTGAAGTTAATCAAACGTTCTATCGACCCCATTTTCTAGTGATATCTAAAACGTGAGCCTGGACAAGGCTAACGCTACTATTATCTATTATTGTTATCGGAAGTGGCCATACTTGCATGCGAAAGCCAGATCTCGATGGTACTGTGATGGGAGACCTCTGGGAACACCAGGTGCCACAGTGGGGCGGCTGTAAAGTGCCAAACTGTTGATGTGTCCTTAGGCAAGACACTTCACCCGCATTGCCCTAGAATGAGTCCGGTGTGTGTGAATGGTTGGTGGTGGTCGAAAGGGCAGATGGCATATTCTTTGTAGCTTCGCTTCTGTCAGTGTGCCCCAGGGCAGCTGTGGCTACAAGAGTTTATCACCACCATGTGTGGAGTAAAAGAGTAAAGAAATGTGAAGCGTCTTTGAGTGTCCAAAAAGCGCATTGCATCATTATTATTATTATTATAGTGCATTGAGATTGACTTTCAATCTCTTATCCCAGTGACCACTAGAGGGAGCCAACAACCCCAATTTATTTTTTGCATGTAAAGTTGTTATTCTCTCTCAGGGGATGTTGGATTTATTCCAGCTGTATAACGCCAACCCCTTTTAACTATTCACCGCAGTGTAAAAGAATGTTGTATGGATTTACAGAAAGAACAATGGCTATAAAATTACAGAAGCCAGAAGAAAACAAAGAATGATGAGCAGAGATATGAGCCAAAATGTCAAATAAATTATATTCTGATTATGAGTGTGCAATGCTTTCTTGTATTTGAAACTGTTCCCCTCACATTTGTTCGTCAAGAGCTTTTTGGTGTGTAATCCCTAATCTTTTGGAAATGACAGAAAACATTAGAAAGCCAATTTCCTTTGTTCTTGTATTGTGATATTGTGTAGTGTCTTGTGTCCAGTGTTGTATATAGACTCTAGTTAGTATTTACAGGCCGTACTCAGTCTTGTTTTTCTGTTCATCCCCGCCCCTCTCAGGGCAGCTCTAAAGACATCGGTCAGCTGGCGGCGGCGCTGCATCACCGAATCTTGGCTCTGAAGAGCAAAGCAGAGCAGGAGCCCGAGGTCCCGACTGTCACTGTCCCCGAGCCAGACATCCCACAGTCCAGCGACGAGGAAGACTCCGCTAACACCACAGCCGCCTCCACCACGGCCACGAGTCAGTATCACCAACGCAAACTAGGAGCTGCCAAACGAGTTTCATATGATTTTGATTAGTCTCAGAGAGCAGATAGTTTAGTTGAACCTTGAACTGTGAAAGGTATTTTTAAACTGGAACTTAACCTGAGAAGTACTTTCTAGTGTTAACTATTGTTCAAGTGGCAAGTTATGAGTACTGGTACTTACGACTCCTTCAGTTAGATTCCTCTACACTTCAATTGTTTGCAGAATTTAGTCATTTTATTCCACTTTTGTTTTTTCTCTTTTGGGTTAATACTACTCTAAAATAGTGGCCATTTTGAATATTAAGTTACGCCCTTTTTCAGATTCATTAAATTAGTGGGGTGAATCTTAGAACTTTCGAATGCCATTTTATCTAGTGAAACTGAAGGATTAATAAACGTTTTATTGGGACGAGACAATGTTGACGAGACAGGATGGAAACAATCCAATATTTATTCTGTTCTGATTTTTTCCTCATGCGTAGGCCTGTCGCGATAGTCAATAAATCAATTAATCGCACGATAAATAAAATTTGCTCAATAACTTTTCTGGCCGCGATAAATCCCATTTGCATGCTTGTTTGTTTCCCCCGTCTCTCTCTCCCCCTCTCTCTCGGGTCAGAGAGCCGCAAAGTGGTCACGGCAACATTAGCGGTCTAGCAAGCAGACGGAAATTACTCAAAAATACAAAATACAGCCAAAACAGGACCTAAACCAGGACTTAACCAGGATTGACAATGGGGGACACAGTAGTTGTGAACATATGCCGGCAGCTGAGTTCTCATTCAGGCTTGATTAGTGACTATACTAGCGCATCTAGCGTTAGCGTGTTCGCCGATGCAGAAGTACCGTACCATACCAATAAAATAAACTTATGGCGCACCTCCGTGAACACATACTGCTGTTATATAAAGTCTCTAGAAGGACTCTGAACACAGAGATGCTGCAGACTTGCATTCTTGGAGTAGAACTTTACACAAAAAACCCGCTAGCTTAGCTGTTAGCATCAAAGCCCGCCCCGCTACTTCCGGTGGGCGCTACCGCAGCAGGACTTCTGTACGCCCCATTGGTGAACCCACATGTCAGTCACTTGTCATTCGCCTGGTGTGTGGGGAGGTGGGACTACTCCTGAGAGATCCTGTCTTAAGCCACACAAAGTCAACATGTTGGTATTTCTTTCTCGTAATCTGCCATAAAGTCTGAGAAATTATTGACATTTGAGGCATCTGTTTCATATTTTCTTTACAAAGGTCCTGGCAGTTTTATTCCTGGTCATTTTTTGTTAAGAGACTGAGTATTTTATTTATTGTTTTTGGTTGTTTGTTAATTTATTGTGTTCTAGCGTTAAATATTTGTTAAAAATAAAAGTTTATTTCTCTTTGAAAAGGTGTACCTGCATTATCGTTGTAATCGATGCAAATGATCTCAGAACGACAATATAATCGCTTATCGCAATAATTTCTGAGACAATTAATCGTCCAGCAAAATTTGTTATCGTGACAGGCCTACTCATGCGTTCTTCATGCTGGACTTTGTTTTCTCACACAAATCACATGGTCGATTCTGCAGTGTAAAACCAAGACTGTTTAATCAACACATTTGATTTAACACTTTTCCTGATGTATTCTAGCCCTGTCCACTCAATACTAAATCATTTGTTTGTGTTCCACAGGTACTTCAGAAGGCGCCGAGGGCCAGGTGGCAGGGAGCACATAGCACCTCTGGGACAGCCTGTAACTGCTGCTTAGGAGGCATTTTACTGTTGGCATCTCCATGGACAACCTTTTGACCAACATAGGTCTACAGACCAGTACTTTTGGATATTAGAAAACTAGCTCCAGGAATAACCCCTTTGTGCCGGAGTGTCTCACCCGACTGTGTGCAGTCCATCTTCTTTGCGTAACCTCTGGAGTCGTCTCTTCCTTCCAACTGTTTTTTGTTTTTGTTTGTCCAGCTCTTTTCCTCCTCCCCAATAGCCCGCCCAAAATAAAGACTTCAAAGCTTTGGTTTGGGACTTTTCTGCTCATCATATTGATGAGTGTAATGGTGTTTCCTCTACATTTTAAGGTATGGCACATGTTAAAGACTGCAGTTTCTACTTTGGGACCTTTTTACTCATTTGTCAGATGCCTCTGGAGCCACCGTCCTGAGGAGTCATCATTGTCTTGGAGTCCTCCAGTTCACTGCACCACACTCCCTCTGTGTGTCAGGTTTATGGCATAAGTGTAACTTATGCCTGTCATTTTGTCATCGAGACTTCGAAGCATAATTGCTATTTCTGATGGTCCTTGCCAAGACCACTTAAGTTGTCATTAATAGCAGTTTCTTATATTTCCTATGATAGTGAATAAAAGACTGAGACAATGCATTTGTATTGTTCTAACTTCTAATGAGTTTATGTGAACAAAAGGGCATAGTTACAATTATCACGCTTTGTTTGTCAATCCCACTTTTCATTTCCCTTTTTCCTTGTTTTCTCTCATGAAATAACCTGTCAGTCTCCATTCTGCATGTAACTATATTTTCAGAGTTTATCGTGTTCATGCATACTTTTATTTTGAAGTGTACATTTTTTTCGTCCATGTAGAATTGGAAAAAACTTGGAAAAACTTGGAAAGGAAAATGCGTTTCTATCATTTATCAGAGCACCATGTTTGTCATCTCTCCTCCAGCTGCCCCATTCCACAATTCATTTCACCAAATTGTTTCAACACCGCAAAAGCTCTTCGTCAAAATTTAAGTTACCGGTAGTCTAAAACTTCACAACGTTATGCAATTGGAAAATAGGTCACATTTGACTTAAACTTTTTAGTTCATTGTTAAACTGTTGTACATTTTGTTTGCATACATTTTTATATTGTCAAGTGTAAAAAACGAGTCCACCTGCATCAACTTTATCTGTGCATAACGCCATTCAAAGAAGAGGGGCCACAAAACACATGGCCTGATAATATTGGAGAATATCACTTAGGACATTTGAGAACTAAACTTTAGTATCCAAAATGATGTGTCGCTTTTGTTTGGTTAAAAAAAGGAAACAAAATTGAAGTTGTTGATTTCTGTAAATTGACCAGTGCGGCTTATTTTTTTATATTATAATGTGAAACTGCATTGCAAACTGTTCCATGATTGTTTGTCACTATAAAGGACTTTGAAAACAATTTACTCACAAACCACATATTATTTTCAAGATTCGGTTTTGGGCCCCATCTTTCTGTCTGTACCGAGTTGACATGAAACGTGTAGATTTATTTAACTATTGTGCTATCCTTGGGTCAAAATAACCCCTCACAGTGATTCAAAGTTGAAGGAAATTACCCTAAATTAGCGTCTAAATGTCTCGGGGCTGGTCAAGTCAGGAAAAATCATCAAACTTCAGCTCAGAAAATTATTAAGGGTATTTTTTGATCACTGTGGAGGGTAAATTTGACCCCATATTTTTACGCTAATACAGATTTGAACAGGAGTTGGATGGAGCAGGCGCATACTTTATCCCAACTCCCTCTCACCCATTCAACATGCAATAATACAGATTACAATACAATTCATCAACACAATTTTGATACTGTGCAGCACATACAGAAATGTCTAATATACGCACCTGTTACACTAGCCCCAAACCCACTCTGCTCTGACCCTACACCTCTCTTCCATCTCCTGCGCTGGGCTCCATACATTGATTAAATTAATTATATTTCTTATAGCGCTGCGAGAAAATAACGTCTATAGCGCTAAATTGGTCAAAACGTTATAATAAAAAAAACACAAAAAGAGCTGTGCAATAACATGGTATGCAAATTTACTACACTTTAGTGCCAGATTACTTGTGTGTGAATTCTTTCTTCAACCGTTTTTGAAAATGACAGGAAAGCCTTGCATCCGTTTAGGCAATTTTACCGAATCATGTAACAGCATCGTGTCCATTTTTGGTGACGAGTTCGGGCACCTGCTTGTCTGTATGTTTGTTTTTAATTGGTCAACTGTGTTTTGGTGTTGACAATAACATACATTGGTCTGTCTGTTAGCTTGTATAACCTGCATTTAACCAAAAGTAAAATGCCATAGTTTTACATCAGTCAGGCGAAACTATGGTCACATGGAGAAAAGCAGACGGACCTCCTCATATTGTAGTTAAGAACAAGAGTTGCCCAAGAGCAGACCCTTGTGGTACACCTTTTCAAATGACGTATCAATAATTTGCAATAACATGTTCATAGACTGTTATTTATCTTTCCAAAACCCTCCTTGTTTGTGATACATGAGTTCAATCGCAGTCTGCTTTATATTTTGTCCACAGTTCTTTCCAGTCCAAGCTTCTTCTATTCATGATTCATATCAGCTGCTTGGTCATAAATATTTGAATTATGCAAGTACATTTTTCTCATTCAAACGAACAAAAATAGTTCCAAACCTGTTTATCTCTCTCTCTGAAGTCTATTCAAGTCCGACTTTTCATGATCATATTGTTGAGAAAATATTTATGAAGTTCAAGTTGACAGGTAAGATGTATTTCCACCTGAATCCATTATGTTTTTCCGGTCTGGTGCTTTGCAGACAGGTACATGCGTTTTGTCACAACATGCATATAGATTGTTATCCGTTTGAGCTACGGGTATTGGAAAATAACCTTGGTGAACTGGTGCTAAAGAAAGTAGGCTCTTAAAAATCTGTGCCTCTCTACAGTCTGTATACATATATATTTGGTTCAAAAGTGGATTCACATGGTATAATTCAATAGTCCATTAACCCCTTACACTCCCTGCCCAGTGTATGCTTCAAAATATAAATAAACCATACTTTGAAATGTCCTGAAACAGATTCGATCATGTGGCTGTGTTTTTTGTATGGTGACTATTGCTCTAATTACAAGTGGAAACAATCTGCACAAAATATATCAAACAAAAGAAAAACCTACATGTTCTTTTGTAAATAAAATCTGGTATATCTGTTTTCTGGTGGTTGCTCTGATGCTGTAGAATGATTGTATGTTGGGTGTAAAAAAAAAAATGCGTTTTTCACAGTTGAGGCATTTTTGACTGAAAATTAGATTAGGGACTTGTAATAAAGAAAAAAAGGTCCAGGATCCCTATTCACTAATCTGTATATTTTGGTCACTTTTTTTTTTTAGGAGTCAAATTGGTCATCATTCAGTGGAACTCAGCTGTATATGCATCTGCCGTCTGTCCACAGAGATTTTGTTTCATTGTCATAAAAGCTGGGTATCTGACTTTCAAACCACAAAAACTTATACTAACTAAGAGTAAAGTAATTTCCACATGCATGTATGTTTGCCCCGTCACATATTTAGATCAGTTTTTTCAGACATAAACCACCTCCCACTCAGCTCTCACCCCAAAGTGTCAAATAGTGACTCGCAGGGCTTTTTTACTTACATTTTCCTTTTAAAATATTTTTTCTGGTAAGAATAATAAAATATACCATTATTGAGGAATTGATACAAACCCCTGCTTTTAAATATTTTAGGATCACCTTATTTATAACCATGCAATGCAAAAACATGCTTTCTTGCTGTGAGTGTTGTCAGTCTCTCCACAGATCTTCCCTGTAACATGTCCATTAAGAAGGATAGAGACCAAACTGTCTTGTTGAAGCAATAACGGCAACATGACGTGATGAACTTTGCCCATTTGTTTTGAAAGTCATGTTCAGAAACGTTATCATAAAAATGTCACCTCTGCGTCAAGAATGAAATTATGTTTGATGGCTTTGACAATAAGTCATTTTCCCCAGAAGTTTTGTGTGTTGAAATTACAAAGTCACTTGAAACTAGAAGTACAAGCGTGTATTTCAGACTCAGTACAGAGATTTTGTAAGGCTATATTTCAGCCCTATATATTATAGCCACTCATGATTGAGATATATTTATATTGTCCACTAGAGGTCGCCAAAGTCTGTTGTTCCATGATATTACATCCTTTAAAAACATGTGTTTTGCACAATCTTGTGTGTTGTGTCTGTACAAATAGTTCTTCATGGCTCCTGTTGACCATATTGAAGTAGTAGTAGTAAGTACTAGTAGTAGTAGTAGTAGTAGTACATGTGATTAGGATGAAGCTTGACCTACAATGTTATTTTCATAGCACTGTGACTTATATTGAGATATTGAGAACAAATGAAACAAAATGGGGTCAACTTTTTATTTATTTATTTGAGTGAGTGTAGGCCAAAATACTTTGCATTCCTCTGATTAACACTACTAAGCTGTTTCTGATGTATCTTTGTTGATCTTTGTAATTCTTAACACCCCTCGGCCTCCATGATAACATCATGTGAAAGGAACATTTGTAACTGTCGTCTTCTATTAGGATTTACTGCACTGAACGCTTCCTACACTTAGCCCTGGCTAAGTTTTCCTGATATGTACTTACTTATAAACATAACAAGTAGAATTGTACCTGTTATAGCGAAAATGTTGTTTCACATAAAAGAGACATAACAAAAATAACCCATACATACACAAATGATCGAGGTGGAGAGAGAGGGGCTCTGGCCTCAGCACGATGGTCTTACCAGACCATTGTACTAATTTCATTTCTTACAATAAGGAATAAAATATTTCACCAAAGTTTACGGATGGCTACAGCAGCAGGCTCCAGCAGCAGGCTACAGCAGCAGGCTCCAGCAGCAGGCTCCAGCAGCAGGCTCCAGCAGCAGGCTCCAGCAGCAGGCTCCAGCAGCAGGCTCCAGCATCAGGCTCCAGCAGCAGGCTACAGCAGCAGGCTCCAGCAGCAGGCTCCTGCATCAGGCTCCAGCAGCAGGCTACAGCAGCAGGCTCCAGCATCAGGCTCCAGCAGCAGGCTCCAGCAGCAGTCTCCAGCAGCAGGCTCCAGCCGCAGGCTCCAGCAGCAGGCTCCAGCAGCAGGCTACAGCAGCAGGCTACAGCAGCAGGCTCCAGCATCAGGCTCCAGCAGCAGGCTCCAGCAGCAGGCTCCAGCAGCAGGCTCCTGCATCAGGCTCCAGCAGCAGGCTACAGCAGCAGGCTCCAGCAGCAGGCTCCTGCATCAGGCTCCAGCAGCAGGCTACAGCAGCAGGCTCCAGCATCAGGCTCCAGCATCAGGCTCCAGCAGCAGGCTCCAGCAGCAGGCTCCAGCATCAGGCTCCAGCAGCAGGCTACAGCAGCAGGCTACAGCAGCAGGCTCCAGCATCAGGCTCCAGCAGCAGGCTCCAGCAGCAGGCTCCAGCAGCAGGCTCCTGCATCAGGCTCCAGCAGCAGGCTACAGCAGCAGGCTCCAGCATCAGGCTCCAGCAGCAGGCTCCAGCAGCAGGCTCCAGCAGCAGGCTCCAGCAGCAGGCTCCAGCAGCAGGCTCCTGCTTCATGCTTTCTTACTGTTGTTAGCGTTATGAGTTTCTCCACAGATCTTCTCTGTAATATTGGTCATTTGAATGTTTCAAGCTCGACTTCACCTCCAACTTGATCAGAATTATTTGTATTTCTGTCATAAATAAGAGGAAGTCACAAACTGGGGATTTGCAGTTTCTCCTTTTGGCTCACCTCCAGATGATGAATGTCCATTTGTTTCTTGAACCTCTTCGGTCGACAGTTGATCTCTTGCAGACACGATATGATCTTTTTGTCAATTCCTTACTGTCAAACTTTCAGACTCGTGGGCCAACTTCAGCCCACAAGACATTTTTATTGGCACCTAAAAGGGTTTTAAATTATTATGATTAACTTGCAGCATTGATGGTAATGAGCTACCATGACGTAGCTCATTACCATATATGTACATGTTAGTCAATACATCATATATTCAAAATCAAATCATTAGAACATAAATTGCTATATGTGTTCAAGTTTGGTTGAACAGTTTTGGTTAAATCTAAACACATTTTGTTTTCAGAATAGTCAACCAGAAAACATATGTGAAACTCATGTCAAATAAAAGTCATGTCAAACTACCTTCATAATGAATAAACAATTATAAGGCCTCTGACCAAAAGGAGTTTGACACCTTTGGCATACAGCTTTTAATAACAACATGTGTATTTGACCTTGTAGTCACCCAGCGGTGTTTACTTTCCATCCCAGTGGTCTCTACGATGCTATAGGATCAATTCTATGGTAGGTTTTCTCTGCACATTAACAGGTTAATGAGGTTGTAGAGAAGACTAATAACAAGATCGACTCAGTTACATTTAAAGTACAGATCTAACATTTAAAGATGAATGTATTTCTATAATGTCAAAAATGCCACTGTTTAGACATTTTTGTTCATTATAACCTGACATGCCATGGCTTATTGTAAATATTGTCTCTTCCCCAGTAACATCCCTCAAACACTACTACACACTGTTTCATTTAAAGTAAAGGATTGGGCAGTTGTGTGTTGCTAAGTTGTTGTGTGTGTTGCATAGTAACATCATAGTGTTTGTGGCCTCTCCCTGTGCAGGATTATTCTTTTGGATTACAGTAACAACATAATCAGTGCTTATTGTATGGATACGTGACCCTGAGGTGAACATCCAGGATTGATTCTAAAATACCACAGAAAAACAGAAAAACGTCCTCAGCTTGTGGGACGGCACTCTGAAGATAGATTTTCAGGTGGATCAGACAGGGGCAATTGATTTCTCTCGGGGCCGCAAAAAGATTCGGCCATGCTGTGGTTAAAAAAACCAAACGTGTCCGCATCAGTTTGTCACTTTCTGTACATTTAGCTATTTTCCTGATTTTGCTGATTTTACTCCTACCTCCTAAAGTGCCCAGCCATTATCTCCATAGACAAGACACTTCACCCACATTAGAGTCTGGTGTGTGTGTGAATGGTTGGTGGTGGTCGGAGGGGCTGATGCCACATACTGGTTGCCTCGCTTCTGTCAGTGTGCCCCAGGGCAGCTGTGGCCATTGTGTGTGGAGTGAAAGTATAATGGCATGTGAAGCATCTTTGAGTGTCTAAAAACGCTTCATAAAACCAATTCATTGTGATTAAAATTATTATTATTCTTATTAATTAAAAAGGTGTCAAAGACGAAATCATAAACAAGCATGAAACCACATTAGTAAAATCCTCAAACTTTTCTCCAGCTTTCTCAACAACAAGAATGTTTTAAGTCAAATGTAATTATACATATATTTGTATCTCTCCCTGGCATTACACTTGTATGTTACACAATATGCTTTTGTTATGTGTCTACTCAGTTTGTGTTTGGTAGAGTTGGTAGAGCACTGGCCTTTGAGCCTGAAGGTCATGGGTTTGAGTAAGTAAGTAAGTAAGGTTTATTTATATACCGCCTTTTCACTGCACATCGGAGTCTCAAAGCGGTTTACAATTGTTGGGTGGGGGTGCCAGTACAGGAGGCACATGCCATACCTATTGTACATATTTTTAGTGGTAGGGGAAACCGGAGCACCCGGAGGAAACCTACACTTTGCCTGCAGCCCCTGCTAAATAATCAAGGCTCCTGTGGACTCACCACCTGCAGGAGGATCAGTGAGGGGCTGGTGCTCTGTGGACTGGGTGCAGCTCTGACTGCCACCGCCCCGACCCAGAAATGGATTAAGTGGAAGAAAATGGATGGATGATGAATAGCTTTCTCAACCACAACATATTTTGATGAAAAAGTGCATAATTGCCCCAGCCTCACTGAGGAAACAATGTTTCTGAATCAGACCATGACATCAGAATACATCTAATATTAAGAGTGAGAAATCCTTTATTCATCCCACAAGTTACAGAACAGGAGCGCACAACAAAAGATAAATAAACATTATGTATGTAAATTAAATAAGCTAAGTTAATGCTTTGGAAATGTGACTTTGATTTTAACTTATGATACAACCGCAGACACATGTTTCAATACACATACCAGTTGGTACCAAATCATTGTAACTCTCATTATAAAGCAGCAGTTATGTGTTGAGCAGGTCTGCTGCGTGGCTCTATGTCAAAGTTTATTTATATTGCACATTTACAACTTCAAGAGTACAGGACACTCCACAAGGAATAATGCAGGGAAAAAAACACTATTACAGAGAAACTAAAAAACAATACATGATCATAATTAACATGGGCGTAAGTGTGATGTCAGAGGTGAGGCGTCTGGTCCGGGGTAAGTCCAGACAGTCTATGGTCCAGACCTGATCCGACCCTTGATCATCAGTGAAGCGTCACCAAAACACTGTCTCACTGCGGCGAGAGCGACACTTTACACCTGCTGAGGACCCGGCTCCTGTCTGCTGAGGAGCTAAACTAAACGTTTATCTGTCATGGCCTCAAGGTGAACCTGGGACACTTTGAAAGTTTACTCCCTGGTTTAAAAAGATGTGAACTGAAATTAAAGGTGATTTCTGCAACTTCAATTGTAAAATCTCTTATTTTTTATATGAGCTTACCAATCATATTTAGATCTCCATCCATCTGTTTTTCTAAAATGTTTATTGAAAGCTACGGAGCCATAATAGTGACTTTTAATAAATAGGAAACCGGTGGAAAACTAACTTTTTAGGATCAAAATGGGTTTGAATGGCAGCAGTCAGAATGACAGCTCTGGGAGTTGTGGTAGCTTCAGAATTCGGTGAGTCCTGGTCAAGCCCCGGTAATCCAAGATGGCGCCCTATTCAAATGAATGGGACTTCACGGGGACGGGAGATTAGCGGAAATCGCCTATATTTGGGCATCGTTTGGTCCTCCCGGTTGCGCAGTGGACGAGCTCCCATGATGTGTTGTGCCAAATATGCGTGTGTGGGTCCCACATGGGCTGTCATGCACGCGCACAGAGGGTCTCGACTGCGCTCTGACCAATCAGAGCTGCTCATGAGAGCGGCGGAAGAGCGGAACCAGAGCGGGAAGGACAGGAGCAGAGTTTGTGGCATTAAAGTGTGGATTTAAAGAAAACCGAAGGATTTAAGAAGAAAAAAAGTTCAGGATGACAGGGGACACTAAAATCACCACAAAATCCGATCTTTATGAAAGCTGTAGGTTCTCTGTCAGCTGAGGTCGAGCTGTTTTACATTGCGTTCTATGGGACTTTTTTCTGGGTAGCCCTCATGAATTTAGTCTGCAGTACCACGGGCGCCCCTTGTGTCCGTGGGTGGGACTGCTATAAGCTAGTAATACCCTATCCAGTTATTATTATAGATCCATTGTCCTGGTGTTAACAGAGTTATACTTGTGTATTAGAACATGACTTGTCTTCCTGTTGCAGCCTTTCCTGTGGCTGACAGCAAAATAGAGCATTTTGGTGGAAACGCTCCAAAATGTGAATGTCTGGAATGCCGTGAGAGGAGAAGGGAGCAGTGTTTTTTTATGCACCATTTTTCATGTGTGCATAATTCTTGTGTAGCAGGTGCCACATAAACCCAGCTCACTTTATATAATCCTCCATCCCTCCTCCGCATCATTCTCTATCTGTGTCACTTACGGCCTTACAAGGAGGTGCTGAGGAGGCCTGGGAGAAGATTCAGAAACACTGGTTTTCTGCATAAAAACAGTCACTTATGAGTTGAAAAGTTTATTGAAAAGAGAACTCATGATTTTAATGAAAGCTATGCAATAGGTATCAGTATAACATCTCTACCTTTGGCATGATAAGAAGAAAGTATAAAGTACTGTGTATTCTTTATATAACTTGCACTAGAACACACAATACTTTATACTTGCTTCTTCTATTGCCAAAGGTAGAGATTTTATACTTGTTTATTTTGCTAAAGTCAGAGTTTATGTATTATGCTAAAGATAGAGATTATAGATTTTGGTGTCTTTTGGCCCCTTGTCTGCTTTCATCGCAGAGAAGACAGGAACATGTTAACATAAAAGCGTCAATACTAACTTCAAACTTTCAAAATCAACTTATAACAGAAAGCGCTCACAAACTGTCTCAATACAAACTGTATTGTATTTCTGAGTTTTGTATAAAATGTGCAAATGCTGATGTGATTTCTTCTGCTTTAGCGACACCCCGTGGTATAATGTATATGTATTTATAAGTGTATGTATGTATGAGTATTTTTCATAATAAATATTTTCTAAACAGTTCTCTCCTAGGAGCAAGATCACCAGTGCGGGTCTAACTAGTGCTTGCGTCCAATAAAGGTCTTTCCATAGTCATAATTTGAGAAGTAAATGACCTTCACTTAAATACCAAGTAGTGGAGCTTCCAGCGGATTGGCATAGTGGTCTTTAAAATAGATAATAAACCAATAATTATAACCATCATCATCTATAATCTGGTGATTACTTGTTTTGAACAACACATTACTTGATTATTGGCTGTTTTTTATTGTTTTTTAAGCCAGTAGCAGGTTGATAGACTTCCAGTTCAGGTCTGTTTGCTTTGTCCTTCTAAGGATTACGGCCACAGCTGGAGGAGAGAGGATGAAGCCAGTCAGGGGAAACTTCCACACA